TTGGTGTGAAGCGCGTGCCGCAGCCAACGGCCCCTCTTGTTGCCTCTGCTTACAGGGGGGACACTTCCCCAGCCACCCAGACACACGGAACCCTGCCCTGTTTTGGCCTGGCCCTCCCTCTGTCTTTGGCCAACACCACGGATGTTCAGCAGCTTTCCGAAAACTCACCAAAGCTCCAGCCCCTCACCCGCCTGGCCGGTGGCGATGCGATGCAATGGAACTTACCAGGCCAGGCAGCCACACAATCTGCTCTCTTCTGCCGAAAACACTGCCTCCAGGAAGCTCTCTGGGGATGCACCCCCATCACGTGCAGACCGGCTGGCCCTCCTGCCCTTTACTAACAGCGAGACTCCTGCCCATGGGCGGCTGGGCGCTGGGCAGCGCACTAAGAAAGCTCCTGGTGATCATGGGAACTACCCACAGCCATGCCTGGAAGGCTAGCCTTTTTGGGCTGGGCGGAAGTTGGAGAAATCCTGCTGGTGGGAGGGAAGCTGGCCCATTTCCGCTTGTTAGGGCGCGGGAACAGGTGGGAGCGGGAGCGTGGGTGTGAGTGTGTGAAACTCACCCGGAGCCCGCAGAAGGCAGGGCTCCCACCCACAGCACCCCCTGGACCAACCTGTCAGGCATCCCAGTCTCTGGCCCAATCTGTTTGGATCTCGGGCGGCTGTTGAATCTGACATATGTGTTCCGCAGCCAATGCCGGAATCACAGAGAAATCGCTTCCTTCATCCCGGGAGCCAAGCCCCACGTTTGGGCTTTGGAAATCCCCGCAAGGTGCTCGGTGCTATTGCTCATTCGGGAAGAAAAACCCTGTTTCCTTGTTGAGTGCAATTGTTAAGAAACTGCCAAAAACTTGTGCTCCCTACCTGCCTTCCCAGCTGGTTGCTTCGTTCGGGCCAGCTAATGAGCAGTGTGCTGGGAGTGCTGGGACAGCAGGCCAGCCCAGCCCCTGAACTTGGCCGCTGTGTCATCAGGTCCCATCTCAGCTCACAAAGGCCCAGGAGAGAGCTGCTCCACCCAGCTGTTTCTTTGCAAGGCCATTCCAGTTCGCTCTAGTTAAGCTCCCAGAAGTACTCCTGGCGAGTTGTCACCTTTCGGACAAATCCTGTTCTTTTCTTCTCCCCTTCTAGTTTTTTTAAATATATTTGTATTGATTTCAGAGAGGAAGGGAGAAGGGGAGAGAGAAACATCAATGATGAGAATCATTAATCGGCTGCCTCCTGCATGCCCATAATCCAGGCATGGAACCATTCAATTCCAGTCAAAGGCACATGCCTGAGTTTCGGGCTTCATCCTCAATGGGGGGCGTGCAGGAGGCAGCCGATCAATGATTCTCTCTCATCATTGATGTTTCTCTCTCTCTCTCCCTCTCTCTTCCTCTCTGAAATCAATAAAAATATTTTAAATAGAACATAAAATTCATTAATTTCTGATGAAAGCTACTGGGAGGGCTTCATAACATGAGAAGATGAGATCTACCATATGCGTGGTCTATTCCGAGCCAAGTGCTTTAATGATTACTTCACTTCAGCCTCGCAGCCGTGTGGAGGTGGAGAGCAGTAGCTCATAAAGAGATGGGGAAACGCAGGCTCGAGGAGCTTCAATCCCTTTGACAGACACACCCAAGAGGCAAAGGAGCTGGGATTCAGGTGCAGTCGTCTCGGTCAGTGTAACTCCCTGAAAACACATTCCTGAGATTCTGTGAAGAGTGTTGGTCCTGCTTGCGCTTGTATATCACAGAAGTCTCCAGGCATGGCTCTCATTCCACTGATATGCAATGGCGTGATTCATGTCTCCAACCCCAATGATTCCCCTAAGTATGGACTTGAGTGTCCAATGGATCTCTCCAATGTAGCTCTTCCAAAATGCAGCTGCTCAGCCAGTCTAGCCCATCCCAGGAAATGGCAACTTAGTTGGACCATTTTATTTCCACTCCACCAACAAATCTGTTGGCTCCATCTTGGAAATATATCTGAAATTCAGGAACTCTGGGACAAGCCTCCATCATAACTCACCTATTGGCAGTAGCCTCCTAGCTTCTAGTCTTGTCATATGACAGCCAGATGGTTCGTGTACAAGGCAAATCAAATCAGTCACTTCTCTGAGTCCTTACCTCCCCTACAGGACCTGGAAGCATCTATTTGTGTCTACCCTTCCCTGTGAGGAAAAACAAAGCCAGTTTCTTCCCCAACCTCCTCCTTCCCAAAGACCACACATCCTGCAGCCACTCCCCCTTGGCCACCCTGCAGCAGGCAGGGCCTGTTCCCGCCTCAGGACCTTTGCACTTGCTGTCTCTCTGCTGAGGATGATCTCCCCAAGCTGTACCTAGGGCTGCTCTCTCCCCTTATTGGAGGGCAGTCTTCTCTCTGTCTCCTCTAGGTTAAATGTATGTGGGCATTCTTTGTGCTGTTTTCTTTTTTCAAATTTTCTGTGGAGTCAAAAATTTTAAATTAAAAAATAAAACTGGTGGGAAAGGACATAATTCAAAACCTATGGTTCCTGAAGTAAGAAATAATTGTTTTTCTGTTGAAAGAATGAATGTTAGACCATCCAAGCTGTGCTCCCCAGGCTCCATGCACAGGGCAGACACAGGTGGCCTGGGACAGTGGTCCAACCCCATCCTTGAAAATGTATAGCCCCAGTCTGAATTTGTACTTGGCCATCACCCGTGAGCTAAGAACACATGGTTTTAAAGCTGACCAAGCTAGTGTCACAATCTTATATGACAATGTGAATACCAGGTCTTTAACTTGGCCAGATACTTCAGCCGTCACCAGGATCGGCTTTCTGGGTCACCAGATGTTCCCTTGGGCAGGAATGCTGTGACATCAGTATCTCCTTCATTTTTATGCAAATTGACCTCCACTATACCCACAAGCCATGCCCACCAGCAAATCAGGAGCAAGCATGCAAATTAACCCAACCAAGATGGCTGTGGCCACAGAGAAAGCAGGGTTTTACTGGCAATGGAGGAAGCCAAGCTTTCCACCTGCCATGGCCTCCACTTAAGGCTAAAAAGTTTCAATTATAGAAGATAAATAAATCCCAACAAAAATGGCTGTGGCCACGGAGCTAGCAGGAGGCTTGGCTCTGCTCAAGGCTACAAAGTTTCAATTATAGAAGATAAATAAACCCCAGATACCAGAGCCTCTGCTTGGGTCGCCAAGGGATGTTGCCGGCCTGCAAACCACCACAAGCACCTTGCCCAGGCCATCCCACACCCCAAGGAAACCCCCACCCTGACCCGGGATACTATTGAGGGCAAACCAGCCAGCCCCCACCCATGCACCAGGCCTCTATCCTATCTAATCCTCCTATCTAATAAAAGAATAATATGCAAATTGACCATCACTCCAACACACAAGATGGCCACCGCAAGATGGCCAGCAGGGGAGAACAGTTGGGAGGGACCAGGTCTGTAAAGGAGGGCACTTAGGTGTGACCAGGCCAGCAGAGGAGGGAAGTTGGGGGTGACAGGGCCTGTAGGTAAGGGCAGTTGGGGGTAACCCAGGCCTTCAGGGGAGGACAGTTAGGGGTGACCAGGCCTGCAGGGAAGGGGAGTTAGGGGCAAACAGGCTGGCAGGGGAGCAGTTAGGCATCAATCAGGCTGGCTGGGGAGTGGTTAAGGGGTGATCAGGCTGGCAGGCAGAAGCAGTTAGGGGCAATCAGGAAGGCAGGCAGGTGAGCAGTTGGGAGCCAGCAGTCCTGGATTGTGAGAGAGATGTCCGACTGTTTGTTTAGGCCCAATCCTACCTGGATCATGCCCAAATGGGCTGTCAGATATCCCTCGAGGGGTCCCAGATTGGAGAGGGTACAGGCTGGGCTGAGGGACACACACCCCGTGCACAAATTTCATGCACCAGGCCTCTAGTTGTTAATAAGGTGTCAACGTTTACACAGAGTGTTACAATAAAAACAATTGCTTTGTGGTTGTTCCAACACCAAATGCGAACAGACCTCGTAAAAGTCGCACGTGGGCTCATTCCCAGCACACCCAGGGCAGTGCAAACATCGCCAGGACCACACCGGTGAAGTAGAGCCAACTCATGCTCCCCAAGGGAGGTGAGCAGGCTCCCCCTTCTGCACATCACCACACCGGCAGGAAGTGAGGCCCATAAAGCACTGCCAGCAGAACTCAAAGGAAGGGAAGGCGTGTCTTGTGACAATGAGCAATTAAGCTCTGCATCTCAGTTCCCCTCTCCCAGCTCAGCACCTGCTAATGAACATGGAGCAGCATTTGCACATGCTGATCATTGCAATAACCAGCTCACCTGAGTGGACGAAACTGCTCAGAGCTTTTCCGTCTCTGTGACTCCAAACATGTGGCCAGTGACCTGTCTTCTCCATAAGGTCTTTAGGAAGGACCGGATGGAGAAATTTGAGATAGTCATGCTTTTTTTTTTAATTTATTTGTTGATTAAGGTGTTACATACGTGTTCTTATTCCCCCATTATCTCCCATCCCCCCCACTCATGCCCTCATCCCCCTGTTGTCTGTGTCCATTGGTTAGGCTTATATGCATGCATACAAGTTCTTTGGTTGATCTCTCCCCCTAACCTTCCCCTCCCTACTTTCCCTCTGAGGTTTGATGGTCTGATCAATATTTCTCTGTCTCTGGATCCGTTTTTGTTCATCAGTTTATGTTGAGTGAGATTGCCTGCTTCTATTTTTTTTAATATATTTTCATTGATTTCAGAGAGGAAGGGAGAAGGAGAGAGAAACATCAATGATGAGAATCGTTGATTAGCTGCCTCCTGCATGCCCCTACTAGGAATCAAGCCTGCAACGCGGGCATGTGCCCTCAACCAGAATCAAACCCAGTACCCTTCAATGCACAGGTCGACGCTCTATCCACTGAGCCAAACCGGCTAGGGCTCCCTCCTTCTAAGTAACAGCAAACACCAAACACTGCTCTGCTTCAGGTACGCCTCCTTTCTCTACGGGCCAAGCACACACCTGCATTCCCAGGGGACGCGCTGAATAAACAAGGACTCCGCATGTCACTTTGGGGACACTTTATTTGGTGTCTGACTTCTACGGCACAGGTCCTTAGTAACAGAGGGAGAGCAACAGAGAGGCTGATGTGCCTGGTTAGAGAACACCTTTTCCATTGGTGTTTAGATTTATTCACATAAAAACCTGGTTCTGAAAGAATCCAGTAAGTTGTATAAATGTTTAAAGCCTTTGGTTCTGGAAAAAAGAAACAAAAGCATTCCTCTGAAGTGCTGATTCATCTCCGCAGCCCAGTCTGCGCCCCTTGCTCATCAGATCACCTGGGCAAGTGACAAGGTTGTGCATTTGGTTACAGTAAACGCCTTCCCAATCCCCACACGCGTGCTTTGTTAACCGGGAGTGACTGGTGCTTGCTCAGCAGCTTGCTCCCCATGGAGGTTGGCTGGTGGGCGGAGTTCAGGCTCTGGGGGAGGAAGGCAACTGGCTCTGGGGGTCCCCATGACAAACTCCCCCAAACTTGACCTGCACCTGCCTGTCTGCCCCTGGCTTGCAGTTGAGGACAGCCTGCACTCCACAACTCATTGGAGGTTCAACTTACGAAAGGAAACAAGGTTAGGCCATTTAGGTCAAGAACAAGTCACACATCCCTACGCTAAGCATTGGGGAGACACAACTCCCCTTGGTGTCCTTGGCCCGGAGTCAGCTAGCCCCTCATCCCATGGCTTCGGATGGAAGAAGAGGAAATTCTTCGGTGTCACTGGCCTTTGGCTGTCTCCCACTGTTTCGTGGTCCCTTTTGAAGCTCCTTATTTCAGCCAAAGGGCATCCTGGATTATCTATATCCCGGCGATGACTAATGCTCTGTGTGCAGGCCACGTGGGAATAAAAGGGGAATCATGTGAAGCAATCCTAGAATTTACAGTCCAGGAAAATCCAGCTTCACTTGCATTTGTTCCATGGAAACCCAATAATAACACTAATATTTGGCTCTGTTGCTCAATACTTACGTGCGGTGGATGAGACAATAAATGTCATTCTATTATGAGAAGGAACGCTGAATTCTCTACTACAGATGGCGTATTTCCACACTGAAGTGGCTATCTGATATTATTTTGGAGGGCCATTACAGAAACACATTTTCCATAGTTTGGCAGCATGATCTGACAAACTTTTTAAACACATCAACTAGAAGTTTTCATGGAAACCCACTTTTAACTAGGTCTTTATGCGAGATGAACGTTTTTATTAGGGCTAAGAAATGATGGGTTCTGATCGGGAGTACTCTGGCACATCTGAGAGACAAATGGGAACGCTAAGGTTAGAAGAGCGACTTCAAAAAGGCTCCGCAAGCAAGGGTAGAGGGCGAGGAGGACAATGACAGGGACACATGATGGCATCCAACACAGCAAACACTTCCCTCCCAAGAACCAGCCCCCCCCTTCCTCATTTAGAGAATGTAAATATTGTTCACGCCTTGCTAAACACTGTCCTTCCCAGACTCCTGTGCAGCAGTGGGGCCACGTGACAGAATCCTAGCCAATGGATGAAAGCTGGGCATCTCTGGGAGGGCTTTGCTTTTTTGATATTAACATTGCACCTGGTACTGGCCTCTTCCTGCTTAGGAAGCAGGCGTGGTACCTGGCAGTACAGTCACCATCTTGTGACTAGGAGGCAATAAACCAAAGGACAAAGGATGTTAGAAAGCACACCAAAGCGTGTAGACCCTGGATAATATGACGAGAGTCCTGAGTGTCCAATCCCAGGTTTCCTAGTCCGCTCGTCGCTGTTCGTTGGGTTTCCTATGATTTGCAGCCAAATGCACACCTGGTGCACCAATAGCCCACGATGAGACTGAGAAGGATGAGGGTGACTCAGTGAGAGGGAAGAACGAGGTTAAAGAGTAAGAGCAAGCAGGGTCGCTCGTACTCACACTGATCACAGAGGACCTAAGCACACAGCTCCCTTCCCGCTCCCGGCGGGGCCAGAGTCCTGCCTGAGGGAATCATTGCCTCATTACAGAGATGCCCAGCGCTCAAATTGGCTGTCTGGGCTCTAACTCTGTCCTTCTGCGCCGTGATTGCTGGTATGAGAGAGCATGCTTAGACATTAAAGCCGGGCGGTTTGCATCCTACAGAGAAGAGAATGGAACACATTTAGAATCAATTTAGCATTTCTCTTGCAATCCATTTGGAGGAGCTCCCGCTGAGAAGTCATATGCCTCACCCTCTCTGCAGCCGTATTTAATAAGATCGGAGAAGAAAAACAGTCACACGGGGTAGCCCGCTCTGACTCTTGTCTAGGCTGTTTGGAAATTAAAGCACACATAGCCATGCTGGCAGCATAGAGGATGTGTCCCCTAGAGACTGCCGGACTGATCAATACTTAAGAATGCGCAGGCAGCAGCAATAAATAAATGAAGCAGATGCAATGGGGATGCCAATCAGTGACCGGGTGAGTACATTCTCACAATCAGGACGAAGCCCTTTGCCTGGAAGGGAGTACAGTGCAGCACTGAATGTTCCCATGGTCCATCGGGCTGGCCTAGGGTGCTGGTCTTGCATAGAGAAACGATTTCTTCACACTCATCCTCACAGGTGGTCCTGATGTGGCTTCAGAGATGGATGGCTAAGCGAACCAGACTGAGAACAGGCACAAGAAATGGGGTGTTCGTGCGTGGCCCCATGCTCGCAGCTTTCACTATGTTCAAATTGAAACTCTTTTCCTTTGCCAACAAAGCAAGTGCAAATATATTTTGTCCAATTCAGTGACATAGCAGCAATACTTTAGGAACCAATGAATGAGGACACTGCACCCCAATGTCCTTCTGCCTTTTGGACTCAGAGCTTCGGAAACACCAGCCTTGAACAGAAGGGCAAACATGTCTTGATTCGGCGTTTGTGTTCCATCATCCCCACCCACCCACATGCCCCCAGAGCAGTTAGTAAATTCATTAACAAACATGATTTGAAACTCATAAGGAGTCAAAGCTATAAAATGCCTACTCATGGATGCATTTTTTTAACAAAGGTTTCCTCTTCCTTCCCTTCCTTTCAAACAAAGCGTCTGGATCATTCATTAGGATAATAACATATCACTTGTTTACTTCTTTTAAAACGACACAGTTGTGTTTTTCTCAAAATAACTGCCATCTTGTTTCTAATTAAACATGATGGATTCAGGGTCCTGGTTCGCCATCTGGGCCATATGTCTCAGAACATCCTTCTTTGTGATGATGCCAAGAAGTCTCCTGGAGAAGAAACAAAATAGAGAAAAGAGGTCAACCTTGCAATACTGACTCATGCCTTTCCCTGAACACCAGTGCCTTTATTACCTAGGCCAAGGGTCGGCAAACTGTGGCTCGCGAGCCACATGCGACTCTTTGGCCCCTTAGTGTGGCTCTTCCACAAAACACCACATGCGGGCGCACACATACAGTGAGATTAAAACTTCGTGGCCCATGCGCAGAAACCAGTTTTCGGCTCTCAAAAGAAATTTTAATCGTTGTACCGTTGATATTTGGCTCTGTTGACTAATGAGTTTGCCCATCACGGCCCTAGACTATGCAGTACACACTTGGACAACCATTCACAACAGTCCCTGCCTCACTCTTCATTTTATTAAATATTTGCGTGGCCACCTGCTGGAACAAGGCACGCCCTCTCGGTACAGTGGACAGCTTGAAAGAAGGGGATGTACACAACTTCTTTGGAGAAAAGAAGTCCCATTGCCTAATTTGTTTGCCAAGTGCTGCTCCCTTTCTCTCCATCACACCCAGGAAGGGGGGTGGAGAAGTGAACTGTGGCGGGACCCCGGGACACTGGCTAGCTATTAAAACAACAGGCTTCTCTGCATCTGTGTAAAAGATGAATACACACACAAAAAATCAGAAAGCACAATTGTAATAAGCTGTCATTTATCTAAGTAAAGCCAAATTAGTCAAACTCATCTGCTACTAATAGAAAGTTAATATTCGAAGGGAATTCGGTATTCCGAGCAGTGTCCACGTCAGTGACAGCTGGTGAGAGGCACACTGGTTGGTGAAACTGGCAAGCCAGAATCCTGACTCTTTGACCCTATCACACTGGACCTTAGAAAAGTGACGGATTTATTATGTCAGTTTTCCTTCCATCACACTGGGGGAGACAGCAGATACTGACTCTGTCCCTCCCTCTCCGAGGAGCATCTTCAGGAGAGAGGAAAACAGCAAAAAGGGCCTTTGCAAGCATGCTAAGCAAAAATAATAATGAGTGCATGGATGACAAAACACTGAAAGACAGCATCACGATTATCCTGATCACCAAAAATGCAGAGCAATGTAGAAAGCAGAATAGATTAGAAAACCAGTATTTTGCACCCCCAATGTAATAATAATGAGTTTAGCCAATAATTATCAATGAATTCCAAACCCGCTGGGTAAGTGGTTGCCAAAAATTCACATGGTCTCCAAGGACCCGGCCACTGATGACGCACAAAGAGAAAAATGTCCCTTTCCACGCGGGGTGCCGGCTATCAGCGCCCCATCCGAGTGAGGGAGCTTATCACCAATCAAGTCAGAAAGGCTGACATCATGACATCATCTACTCTGAAATGTTGCCAAAAACCACTTAACCCAAACCCAACCATGAGGAAGCAATCACACAGATTCAAAATGTGAGACTACTGGTCTGGACTCTTAAAAAAAATATGTGTCACAAACAACAAACAAAAACGAGGCAGGAAGTACTGTAAACAAACATCCCCAATAGAACATCGTTCTGGCTAAGAAGACTGAGCTATTGAGCCGGGTAAAGACATGGAGGAACCTTCCAGGCCTCCTAAGAGAAAGAAGCCGACCCGAGAGGCTGTGTGGTTCCAATGTCTTGATGTTCCGGAGAAGACAAAACCAGGGAGAATGAAGGACACATATGTAATGCCTTCATCAGTAAAGAAAAAAAGACCCAGAAAAAGAAAAAACCAGGGAGACAGCAAGAGATAGCGGCTGCCAGGGGAAGTGGGGAGGCGGGAGTGTGTAGGGCAGTAAGTCACTCTGTGTGATACCATGATGGCATGTACATGTCATTCTCATTTGTCACCCCACAATGTACAACACCAGGAGTGAAGCCTACTGCAGACTAGGAACCTTAGTTAATAATACGAGATCCAGCCGAAACCGGTTTGGCTCAGTGGTAGAGCGTCGGTCTGCAGACTGAACGGTCCTAGGTTCAATTCCTGTCAAGGGCATGTACATTGGTTGCAGGCACATCCCCAATAGGGGGTGTGCAAGAGGCAGCTGGTCAATGTGTCTCTCTCATCGACGTTTCTAGCTCTCTATTTCTCTCCCTTCCTCTCTGTAAAAAAGCAATAAAATATATTTTTTTAAAAAAAAAATAATAATACGGGATCCATATATCAATGGCAGCAAAGAGAACCCACCAATGAAGATGTTAACAAGAAGGGAACTGGAGGAACGAGAGAGGCAATATGGGAACTCTATACTTCCTGTTCAACATTTCTGTAAACCTAAAACCTAAATCTATCTAAAAAATAAAGCCTATTAATTAAAGAAACAAAACCCTTGGAGAGGGCAGGGTTGCCTGAGAGGAGGGGTTAGTGAAGAAGGATAAAGTCAGGAATTGTTGTGGGGTTTCTTGTTGTTGTTTTTTAAAATATATCTTTAAGGATTTCAGAGAGGAAGAGAGATGGAGGGAGAGAGGGAGGGAGGGAGGGAGGGAGGGAGGGAGGGAGGGAGGGAGGGAGGGAGGGAGGGAGGGAGGGAAGGAGAGAGAGAGAGAGAGAGAGAGAGAGAGAGAGAGAGAGAGAGAGAGAGAGAGAAACATCAATGATGAGAGAAAATCATGGATTGGCTGTTTCCTGCACGCCCCATACTGGGGATTGAACCTGTAATCCAGGCATATGCTCCAACCAGGAATTGAACATTGACCTCCTGGTTCCTAGGTCAACACTCAACCACTAAGCCACGCCGGCCGGGCAATGTTGTTTTTCATTCTAGCTGTTTAGAGCTACTTGCCTTTCAGCATGTCCATATGGTACTTTCAATGCATTTCTGAAATTTATCAAAATGCAGTCCAACGGACAGTGCCCCAGAACGCGAGATGCTGTTATACTGACTCTGCCCAGCTGAGTCCGAATCCCTGGAGGCCACCCAGCGGACTTGGGGCAGCTGACACCATCCCCGGGCTGGCGTGTCCCTCCTGGGTCCCGTGAGCAGAAGATGCCACCCGGTCACTGCCCCTGAGGCTGCCTGGACGCCGGCTCAGGGCACACAGACCTCCCTGGTCCCCGGCTGCTTTCCCGAAGGCCTGGGAGCCGGGCCTGGGCGATCCCGCGGCTGTGGCTGGTCAGGGGGTGAGCTGGGCTCTGAGTCCCAGCGGGAGGCACATGGGGCAGAATAATCACAAGCTCTAGCTGGCTGGAGCCGGCCTGCCCTGGCCCGAGCTGCACATGAAAGCCCTGCACACCAGCCCCCTTGCCAGCACGAACATATGAGCATCTGTGTTTGTTTAAAATATGTAGGGGGGGTGCGATCTTGTCTTCCTGCAGAACATTCGGAGCCAATTTCAGCGCCCAGATCTTCACAGGGACCTCGGGGGCTCGCGAGGTGCGAGGGGCACACGGGGCAGGATTCCCACGGCGCAGAGATTCCGAGGATGACTGCGTTGGCTTATTGTTTTACAGGGAAAGGGAAACTGCTATCTACTTGAGCCAACACAAGAGCTCACAGTAGTATTTACACCGAGCGCTGGAAGCTCAAGTGTATCAATGGGCTACAGTGTCTTGCAAAGTGGGTCCCGCAACCAGTGGCAGCCCTTCGGGGTTCGTTAGAACTAGAGGTTCTCGCCGCCTCCCCCCCAGGCCTGCGGGGCCTGGGCTTCAGCTGGAGGCTCAATCCGCGGGGATTCGAGTGCACACTCAGATTTGGAGACCACCGAGTTCCTTACAAAGTCACAGCTGAGCCCTAGCTGGCTTGGCTCAGTGGATAGAATGTCAGCCTGCGAACTCAAGGGTCCCAGGTTCGATTCCGGTCAAGGGCATTACCCTTGGTTGCAACCCCACCAGCCAGTGAGGGCATTGACCCATGAACCAGAACGTCACAGTTCAAATCCCGGTCAGGGCATGTGCCTGGGTTGATAGGCTCCATACCCGGTGGGGGGCGTGCAGGAGGCAGCCGATCCATGATTCTCTCTCATCATTGATGTTTCTATTTCTCTCTCTCCCTCCCTTCCTCTCTGAAATCAACAAAAATATATTTTTTAAAAAAATAAAAAGAGCCGAAACCGGTTTGGCTCAGCGGTGGAGCATCGGTCTGCGGACTGAGAGGTCCCAGGTTCGGTTCCGGTCAAGGGCATGGACCATGGTTGCAGGCACATCCCCGGTGGGGGGTGTGCATGGGGCAGCTGGTCGATGTTTCTCTCGCATCGACGTTTCTGACTCTATCTCTCTCCCTTCCTCTCTGTGAAAAATCAATAAAATATTTTTAAGTAATGCCACGCCCCCTTCTTAGGCTCCTCCCCTTTGTGGCTCAGCCTGCAGCCTCGGCCAGACAGCAGCCCCACCTGAAGCGTTTCCCACATTGGGCTGCTCGGCATTCTCGCCAGGACCTCTGCCACCCCCTCTGCTGCTCCCTGAGTGCCCTGAGGACTGAGAGTGCGTCCCCTTCCCCTTGCTCTCCCTGGTCCGGCACAGCCCGGCCACTCACCCGCTGCGCGTCACCAGGCACTGGCGCAGCCCCAGCTTCCGGAAGATGTCCACCACCGTCTCCATGGGCGTGTGGTCCGTGACCGTGAACGGGCTGAGGTTCAGGACGCGGCGCAGCTTCAGGGGCTGCGGGCTGTTGGCCGGCAGCTCGGGGGGGTCCTCCGTGAAGTACATGATGGAGTTGCTCACAATGCCCTCCTGCCTCTGCCTGGCATTCTCTGCAATGGACCGGCGGGAGCAGAACTCACACCCAGATCCCTCGCTTAGCAGCTGCCCCCACCGCAGACCTGCAGGCACACATCCTCCCTCCGCCCACACCCCAGGATCCCCAGAAAAGGGCTCAGAGGGCCCACTCCACGTTCTTAATGAGGGGCTCCGGCCAACCATCTGTGAAACCGGCTCCTGCTGTGACCGCCTGGGCACAAGACGGGCACCCAGAAGGCCCAGCGCCGTCCCCTCCGCCCTCCGCCCTCCACCCTCACCTTCCTAACACTTCTTCACCTCATCATAGGGGAAGTTTGACATAACAAAAAACCACACTTGCCCGGCTGGTGTGGCTCAATGGTTGAGCATCGACCTATGAACCAGGAGGTCAAGGGTTTGATTCCTGGTCAGGGCATATGCCCGGGTTGCAGGCTCCATCCCCAGTAGGGGGCGTGCAGGAGGCAGCCGATCCATGATTCTCTCTCCTCACTGATGTTCCTCTCTCTCTCTCCTTCCCCCTTCCTCTCTGAAATCAATACAAGTATATTTTTGAAAAGGAAAAAGAAACCACGTTAGCTTCCCGTGACCTTTATACATTGGTATTTTACAAACACATAGTTGGCCCAAACGGCATTGTGAGTCCTGAAAGGAACGGAAATTTAATAGGACCATCCCAGGCTCACGGCCCAGAAATCTAGCTCAATCCCAAATGCGACCCTCAGGACCAAGGAAATCCCCTTGGAAAGGCCGCATCGCCCACCCCTGCATCTTCTCTTTGAAATGGGCCATTCTGAAGGTATCAGAAAGGAAGATAGCAAAACCGGCATGGTAACCATTAGCCTATTTCTATCTCTAGGCCAGGCCGTGCGGCAGGGCTGGAGCAGGGGACAGGAACTCATTAGAGTACAGCTCCGTGCCGCCCAAGAAGCCCGGGCTATTTGAAGTCGCACGTGAATCAAACCCATCGAGCTCAACATATTTCTCCAAGGCCGTGTTCCTTCTGTCGGAATTTTCATCTTCCTCTTGGTTCATGGGAAAAGGTTAGGGGAAATGCACTCCCAGTCTCTGTAATACAGTCCTCCTTTCTCAAAGACTACAATTCACCGATATTGTTCTCGGAGAGAAAGCTCGCACCGCCTGCTCAGAGCGGTCTCCTGCAGCAGCGCGCTCTGATGGAGCTGGCGGAATCAGGCTATTCAGAAAGAGTCTCTGTGTGAAAGGAACACAGGGCCCGCCGGGCAGATGCCTGTTCATTATTTGGGTCAGGTTAAATCTAGTTGCATCAAATGGGACATGCTGCAACCACAGATGCAGGGTGACACTGAGGCACAGGTTTTCAAATGGAGATGCTGTGCACCGCGCACTGCACAATTGTCCCCTAGGCCAAGGCGGTTCTGTCCCGCAGCTCTGAGGTGGAGGCACAGCCAACACATACTTATTTGTTCACATTCATGTACCACATGATTTTCTAGAAGTCCCACACGGCAGAAATCCCATCTCTTTTCATAACCAATTTGAACATTGGGAATGGATCAAGCTACACACCTCAATTAAGAACCGATCACATGACCCAACTGGTGTGGCTCAGTTAACCTATGAACCAAGAGGTCAAGGTTTAGTTCCCGGTCAGGGCATATACCTGGCTGTAGGCTCGATCCCCAGTGTGGGCTGTGCAGGAGGCAGCCGATCCATGGTTCTCTCTGATCATTGCTGTTTCTCTCTCTCCCTCTCCCTTCCTCTCTGAAATCAATAAAAATATTTTTTTAAAAGCACCTTGCAATCCCCTGGCTTAAAGTCTTCTGACTGTGTAGGTTCGTGCTACCCCTGGGAGAATGTGGGGTTGCGAAGGCTGCCATTCATCTCAGTAGCCCAGGAGCTCCCCGTCTACTCACTTATGGCAAGAATCAGCTCCCTCCTCTGGGCGAACCCGATTAGGCGCTCGGAGTCCCGGGACACCACCACGGGGAAGCCGTTGTAGTCGGTCTCCTTGATGAGCGTCTCCACGTCCTCCACTGTCATGCTGTCCTGCGTGAGCACGGCCAGCGGCGGCTCCCCCCGCCGCGGCCGCATCACGTCGGTGGCCAGCGTGCGGTGCGTGAACTCATCCTTCACGTCCAGGAACGGGTACCCGTTGAGGTGGATGTGGGCCTCGTAGATGCCTTCCTTCCCGAAGGCGTCGGCCACCCACTTGCTGGTCACGGCTGCCGCCATCAGGGGGACAATGTACTCCAGACCTCCCGTCAACTCAAACATGATCACCACCAAGGACACCGTCATCCGGGTCACTCCACCTGCGAGTCGAGAGAGGAGGGGAATTCCCAACTCAACCCCGACCCCCAGGAGGGCGTGGATCATGGAAACTGACAAGCGGCTGGAACACCTCTTGACAGGAGAGTAGCTAAGGAGCCAGGCCTACACACCGCCCTGCTCAGAACTCCAGGGCTGAGGCCACGCTGCCATCTGCATCGGGGAGCCAGGAGCCACACCTGCCAGGGGGCTCTTCTGCACGGAGGGACACCTCAGATGTCTATTCACCTAGGACCGTGGTCGGTACAGTGCGGCTCGCGAACCACATGTGGCTCTTTGGCCCCCTGAGTGTGGCTCTTTCACAAAATACCACGGCCTGGGTGAGTTTATGTTGAAGAAGTGGCATTAGAAGAAGTTTAAGTTTAAAAAATGTGGCTCTCCAAAGAAATTTCAGTCGTTGTACTGTTGATATCTGGCTCTGTTGACTGGAGTTTGCCAACCACTGGGCTAGGCCCACAGGCCTTGCTTCCTGGTGAGTGGATCCTATGCGGGCTATGGTTTCTCACTTAGAAAGCGGGGCTCCCTTCCAGAACCCCATAAGCTGGAAACTGGAGAGACTCTTGGGGGTTAGAGACAGAGAGGACCCCCCGGTGTCCCTTGGCATTCAACCGGAGAAAGCAGACCAACTCCTAATCTCCCAGTGAGCCTGAGCGGGGCTCAGTGACCTCAGCACTAGAGGCAGGTGACCTGTGCACTGAGGGATGTTCGGCAGCATCCACGGCCGCCACCCAGGAGGTTCTGCTAGCACTGCCACTCCCAGGAGTGGCAGCCAAACATATCTCCCCTCTTGTCCACTGGCCCTGAGAGGCACAACCGCCCCCAGGTCAAAACCGCTGTCCTAGCTGGCTCAGCTGCGAGATGGTAGAGACTCCATCAGCCTGGGTCCCTAAATGACCAAGTGGAGAGAACCTTCCGCTAACTCCACACACACACACACACACACACACACACTCACACACACACATACACATACATACACACACATACATACACATACACACATACACACTCACACACATGCATACGCACATACACACACACACACACACACACACACACACGCACAAGCCAATTCTCATTATGCACAGTAGCTATGATCTACAAAATCACCACAAACGCCGAATTAACAAATTCGTAACCACCGCCCTCGGGGAGACCTAGATTAGGTCTCTGTGAGCCTATGGTCACAACATTTTTATCAAAATCCATTTTGTGTGCTTCTGTCAGAGACACCTTATTTAACAGATGTAGCTGACAGTCACGTGGAACTCAGCCCAGCGGGAGCTTCTGAAGGTGGATTTTCTCCCTGAGGCACATCCCAGGCTCCTCGCCTGAGGAACTTCAGACAGCACCTCAGCGCTACGCCTGAGGGCCATTTTAACCTGCAAAATCATTCGCAAAAATGCAAATCACATGGCACAAGGTAGACCACGAGAAGGACATCTGTGTCCCGTGTGAGAGCCGAACCAAGAAGGCAGACCTTCACCTCGGGCAGTTCAGCTAGGAAGACACACATGTGTCAGATCACTCCAGTGCTCCACCTCTGAGTGTCCGAGACGGACCGCAAAGGCCTACAAGTATTTTGAGGTTACAAACACACTTTAGAAGCAGCCAAATGCCCAATTATGGAACCCACGAATTATGAGAATGGACCACCATCACGAACCAGACATCAGTCTTGGTATGGTAAGGTAGTGAGGTTTAGGGGATTACTTATCACAGCAGCACACCCTCTCCTATACTTACCACAGCAGCTCACCCTCTCCTATACTCATCACAGCAGCTCACCTCTCCTATACTCATCACAGCAGCTCATCCTCTCCTATACATATCACAGCAGCTCACCTCTCCTATACTCATCACAGCAGCTCACCCTCTCCTATACTCATCACAGCAGCTCACCCTCTCCTATACTCATCACAGCAGCACACCCTCTCCTATACTCATCACAGCAGCTCACCTCTCCTATACTTACCACAGCAGCTCACCCTCTCCTATACTTATCACAGCAGCTCACCCTCTCCTATACTCATCACAGCAGCACACCCTCTCCTATACTTATCACAGCAGCTCACCCTCTCCTATACTTACCACAGCAGCTCACCCTCTCCTATACTCATCACAGCAGCTCACCCTCTCCTATACTCATCACAGCAGCTCACCTCTCCTATACTCATCACAGCAGCTCACCTCTCCTATGCTGAGCATGCAAGTCTCCTGGCTTCCTCTGGCCAGCCCTCTAGCCCAGTTGGCCCTTGTGCTCCATCTGTCTTACTTTCCTTGCACCTCCCGCCTCACCTCCCCTGCCTTCCCCCTCTCCCCTGCCTCTGGCTGTACCTAGGCAGGCTGCTGCTCCCACCATTGCGTAGAGTCCCGGGGTGACACAGTCTGCTCCGGGCCTGCACCAGTTCCTGAAGATGATCCAGTCGTGGTGATGGTATGCCAGCTGCTCCACGCCGATGCCCACCATCCTGCCCGCCATGGCCCCCACAGCCATGCTGGGGATGAAGAGGCCCGATGGGATCTGCAGGGAGCACACATGGGGAAGAGGCGTGAGGGGAGGAGTCTGAGTCCCCAAATCCCGCCTCCCGCCCCAGCACACACTGACCCCTCCACAAGCTTGCATTTCGCTTCAGTCTTCAAAGGAGCTGCAACCTTGCCCTAGCCGGTGTGGCTCAGTGGATAGTGGCAGCCTGTGGACCGAAGGGTCCTGCGTTTGATTCCGGTCAAGGGCACGTAGTACTTTGCAGGCTCCTCCCCGGCCCGGACCCTGACCAGGGTTCGTGCAGGAGGCAACCAATCAATGTGTTTCTCTCACATCGATGTTTCTGTCTTTCCCTCTCTCTTCCACCCTCCTTGAGAATCAATGGGGAAATACCATCGGGTGAGAAGTAACAGAAATAAAGAAATAAATGATTTTACAAAGGAGTTTCTAACTCCACTTTCTCCCTTCCTCTATGTAAAATATCAATAAAATATATATATTTTTAAATAATAATAAAGTAAAATAAAATAAAAGTAAATGTCAGGCCGCAGCAGGAAACTGGAAAAGAAGGGCCTGCGATGGGGGGAGGAGGAGGAAGCCAGGGCAGCGGCCAGCCGTCTGCATCTTCCAGAGGCTTCCGCAGCCACCGCCCTCAAGGCCCACAGTGCCCTCCATCCTCGTGTCCCTTTCACGAAAAGCGATCAAAACAGTCTCATCCTGGGAGAGCGGCTCAGAAGCAGACCCCGCAGATGGGGAGGTCTGGGCACCAGCATGCCTTCTGCTTGGTGTGAAAAGATGTTAGATCCGGCTCGTGGCCAGGCTGCCGCTGAGCCACCTGGCTCTCGGGGGGGGGGGGGGGGGGCCTGCATGGGGCTGCCATCCTGAGCGGGAGCATGTAGGCCCGGCCCAGCCTGTTACCGATCTCAGGACAGAGGGGCTCCTGAAGCAGGCTCCAGGTGAAGGTCAGATCCTTGAGTATGACGGCGGGAGTCTGGGACATTCCCGAGGAAACAGTTCCTTTCTGAACTGCCCCATCCCACTGCCACCTGACCCCCTGGAACGGCCAAGTCCCCTCTCCCAGCAGCACCAGAGGCGCCAGGCCTTCCTCAAACACGAAGCTCAAGCCCTTCACTGGCGCAGATGGAGCAGACAGACAGTCATGTTTAATCCAGTCCCCATCCTGTTCTCAGGACAAAAATTCAGGCTTGTGCTTGACCATCACACACTCAAGTGTAAACTCTCTACATGGTTTCTTCGACTTAAAAAGCATAAATCGTAAAAATCACACACAGACCGAGTATTGCTGGCTCAGTGGTTGAGCTTTGACCTATGAACCAGGAGATCATGGTTTGATTCCTAGTCAGGGAACATGCTCAGGTTATGGGCTCGATTCCCAGTGTGGGGTGTGCAGGAGGCAGCTGATCCATGATTCTCTCTCGTCATTGATATTCCTATTGCTTTCTCCCTCTCCCTTCCTCTCTGAAATCAATAAAAAAAAAAATTTTTTTAATCGCACATGGAAGTAATTGTAATTGAGAGCAGCAGGTGTTCTGGTGGACTCTCAACATTCTGCTTGCTGGTTACACAAGTGTGTGTGTTTCATGAAAGTTCACCAAGCTTTGTATGTCTCTGTATGAATGACATACTCTGAGCCATGGCTTCTTCACCTCTAAAACGGGGTTAAAGCTATGGTAGAGGCTTGCTGTTACCCACACATAGCTTCTTGGTGGTTAAAGGAATTCAAGGGCCCAGCACAAGACAACATTCAATACGTTCCACCACTTCTCCCCAGCACGATTCCATGGTGGCCAGCAGGCGCCACCCAGAAGGCCACAGGTGGCCACATTCTCCTTCCCCTTCACTCACCTTCATGCCAAAGGTGAATATGGTGATGACGATTTTGAAGACCAGCGCCAGGGCCAGCTGCCACATGGCCGTGTACACCCCGCGGCCGGCCGGCCGGTCGGGAATGTCATCCACGGGCCGGGTCATGTTGGGGTCGTTGATGTAGTCGCAGAGCTGGGAGGACTCGAGGGCCCCGCAGTCATTGAACAGCTCAGAGATGAGCTCGCTCGTGCTCTGGCGCGTGTAGGGGTTGGGGTAGGCGACGATGGCGGTGATGGCCGTCACCGCGATGACCTCCAGCACCGGGTACTTGCCCAGGCTGGTGGTCTTGCGCCTCCTGCACCAGGCGATGTTGCAGCGGATGAAGAGGGTCCCCCACAGGCCCCCGAAGACGCCCAGCAGGATGAAGGGGAAGAGCTCGGCCATGTACCAGGGCGTGTGGTACTCCACGTAGAAGAGGACGAGGCGGCTGTTCCCAAAGGGGTTGATGGAGCGCAGCGTGAAGGCCGCCACCAGCGCCGCAAAGAAGGACCGCCACAGGGTCTTCAGGGGGAAGTAGTAGCTGACCTGGACCGACAGGAGAGCGTGAGCGACGGGCCCAGGACGGCGGCACTCACACCCGCACCTGGGTGTCCTTATGACCCTAAGGCGCCCGCAAGGACACATAGACTCTCCCTGCGTCCAATAGCAGAATGGAGACTAGTCAAGGTGCTTTTGAGCTATTTTTTTTAAGAGGAATGAAAGCATTTAATCATAATTCTGTTTATGGCATGGAGACATACAGCCCCATCCCCCCAAAAAAAGCAAAGAAACCTCTGAATTTGCTTCTACAGACAACAGATAGATCAAGGGTTGGAAATCCCTGGCCCAGCCAATGTATCTGTATGGCACAGGAGTTAAGAATGAATTGTTTATTTTTAAATAATTAAGAATGCCCTAGTCGTAGTTAGAAAACTGGCTTGCGAGGCACACGGCTCTTTGGCCCCTTGAGGGTGGCTCTTCCACAAAATACCACGGCCTGGGCGAGTCTATTCTGAAGAAGTGGTGTTAGAAGAAGTTTAAGTTTAAAAAATGTTGCTCTCCAAAGAAATGTCAATCGTTATACTGTTGCTATTTGGCTCTGTTGACCAATGAGTTTGCCGACCACTCGTCTAGCTGGTTTGGCTAAGTGGATACAGCGTCGGCCTACAGACGGTAGGGTCCTGGGTGTGATTCCAGTCAAGGGCACATGCCCAGGTTGTGGAATTGATCCCTAGTAGGGAGTGTGCAGGAGGCAGCTGACAAAAGATTCTCTCCCATCATGGATGTTTCTGTCTCCCTCTCCCTTCCTCTCTGAAATCAATTAAAAAATTTTTAATAAATAAATGGTTAGGAAGGACTATTTTGTGACATGTGAAATATTCAAAAGAACCCTGCTTCGGTGACACAAGAAAATTATATAAAACTCCAGCTTCAGCTCCTAAGGCGAGTGGTGTCAGGGTGCAGCCATGCGCGACCATGGGCGGTTGTCTGTGGCTTTCCTGCGTCATGCAGGGCTGAGCGGCTGGGACCCAGGCCGGAAGTCCCACCAAGCATTAAATAGTGACTTTCTGGCCCTTTATAGACAACGTTTGCCGACCCCTGGAATAGATCTACCCACGTTGCCAAAACCAAAAATGCTTCATTCATTTGGTCATGAGGAAGGGAGGACACTGCAAATCTTCCAGAACATTTATATCGGCATTTTCCGCGTAGACCAACCGTGACTCCTGGATGAGCTGCAAGAATTCTGCTCATGCTCCTCAGAAGGCTTAGGCAGGGGCCTGCTGCTGAGCTCCCCACTGCCACTGCCGCAGCCCGCAGCCCGCAGCCCGCAGCCCGCAGCCACACATCCCCCGCGCCCGGCTCACCTCCTCCAGACTGAAAAGCACGCCGCCAATCGGAGCGCCGAACGCAACAGAGACTCCGGCAGCAGCTGCCGCTGAAAGTACCTGCAAGGCAAAGCCCAAGGCCTTTCATGAAAACAAGCCTGTGCAGGGGCTGCCAGCGTGGCTCAATGGTTACATGTCAACCTGTGAACCAGGAGGTCAGGGTCCGATTCCCGGTCAGGGCACAGGCCTGGGTTGCAGGTTCGATCCCCAGTGTGGGACGTGCAGGAAGCAGCTGATCCATTATTCTCTCTTATAACTGATGTTTCTCTCTCTTTCCCTCTCCCTTCCTCTCTGAAACCAATAAAACATTTAAAAGAAGAAGAGGAGAAGAAGAAGAGGAGGAGAAGAAGAAGGAGAAGGAGGAGGAGGAGGAGAAGAAGAGGAACAACAAGAACAACAAGCACACGCAGAGGAGACAGGAGGGGCCTGTCCAGAAGATGGCAGCTGGGCCCGCTCACCTCGCGCCTCTTGCCCTCGTTCTTGCTGTACTTGGAGAAGAGGCTGCTGAAGAAGTTACCACAGCAACAAGCCACGTGCACCAGTGGCCCCTCCTTCCCAAGGCTCAGGCCCGAGGACACCACCAGCACCAGCGTGACGGTCTTGATCAGCAGCGTCCACTTGCCCAAGTAGCCCCTGATGATGAAGCCGCTCAGAATGGTCTTGATCTGGAACACAGGACAGAGAGCGGGGCGGCTGAGGCGCTGTTCACGCCCACTCCCCGCTTCGCCTGCGGGAGGCTGCTTCCGGGTCTGAGTCCCTCTAAGTTCACACGAACAGCATTTACATTAACAAGTCATTTCACCAGAAGAGAGAAGCCTAAGAGCTTATGTACTTATAGACACAGACAATAGGGTAGTGAAGACCCGGAGGAGGGGCAAGGGGGAATGGGAGATATCTGTAATACTATCAACAATAAGAAATACATTATTTTAAAAAAATGTTGAAAAAATAAAAAGACATAAGTTTATATTATATTCATGGAAATGTGAAGCAGTGCGATTCATAGTAAATTTTAATTATTCTTAGAGTAGTAAGGTTATAATGAGGGCTGAATAAGTAATTATCAGGTTCCATTTTATTTGTGGCACTTTATCCTGTTCACATTACCCTCTGTTGTGTTGAAAAGAGACATATAGCTATAGATTTTAGCTGTTAATTTTACACAATTGAAAGACCTTGCCCTGGCCAGTGTGGCTCGGTGGATAGAGCATCAGCCTCTGGACCATTCTGGTCAAAACCACATACCTTCATTGCAGGCTCCTCCCCGGCCCAGGCCCTGGTCAGGGCTCGAGCAGGAGGCAACCAATGGATGTGTTTCTCTCACACCAATGCTTCTCTCTGTCTCTCCCTATCTCTTCCACTCTCCCTACAAATCAATGGAAAAATATCCTTGGGTGAGGATTTATAAATAATAATCTACCTAATAAAAGAATAACATGCTATTTGACCATACCTTCGCAACACCTACCAGCCAATCAGGAGTGAGTATGCAAATCAACCCAACAAAGATGGTGGGTTAATTTGCATACACAGATGCAGGCATTCCACACTGTCCCAGCCACGCTGGGCCTCTGGGCAGCATGGGAAGGCGGAAAGGCCGCTCCGGGCCCAAGCAGAAAGGTGGCTCTGGCCAGAGTGAAGGCAGAGCTGGCAGCCAGGGGAAGTCAGGCCTGTTCTTACATGAATCTTTGTGCATCGGGCCTCTAGTAATAATAATAATAATAATAATAAATGCAGCCCCAGTAGAGAACCAGCCACTGCTCTATTCCTGGCAAGAGCAGGATGGGCCAAAACTGGTTTGGCTCAGCAGTAGAGGGTCGGTCTGCGGACTGAAAGGTCCCAGGTTCAATTCCGGTCAAGGGCATGTACCTTGGTTGCGGGCACATCCCCAGTAGGGGGTGTGCAAGAGGCAGCTGGTCGATGTTTCTCTCTCATCGACGTTTCTAGCTCTCTGTCCCTCTCCCTTCCTCTCTGTAAAAAATCAATAAAATATATATTTTTTTTTAAAAAAAGAGCAAGATGGGAATTCCTGATTCCCAGTAGTTAAGGGATCTTCTGGAAACCTCTTTGGCATCACGTCACCTTTTCCCATGTGGGGAGGGTCATGCAGTGAACCAACCCTTGGAATTTTAAAGGGGTGTGAATGGACCATTTCCATCCCAGAATTACTGATGGAGATCTGTTTCTTAATTCCAGGAGGAAGATCGAGAGCAGGCACGCGTGTGCGTGAGGAACTCAGGCACCCTTCCCAGAGAATGTGAGGAAGGTCTAGCTACACAAACAGGCAGTATTTTGCACTGCCCTCTAACTAACGTCAAAACTAGTGGTGGTTAATGTGGCCTTTACCTAGTAGTGCTTGGCCTACTTGAGCCTGCCTGGGCATCTCAGACCAGCTTATTTGAAGGATGTTTTCGTATGCCTGCCACAATCCTGCACTTTTGTGTTGCCTTGAATAAAATTACCTCTAATTCTCTGTCAGTTGCATAATGTGGACTTGGGCCCGAGGGTAGAGTTTAAGAGCATCATGCCATTTAGAAAATTACAAACATCTCAATTACCGGAGCCTCTGCCAGCCACGTGGTGAGTTGAACAATGTAATGGGCATTTTGTAATTCTCTAAAATGATTTTATAAAATTGCCATGATCAAATTAGGGACTACAGAAAGCGAGCCCGTTCCCAGGACACGCTATGATTCAATCACTGCTTTCCTCTGAATGAACGGGGACCGAGCCAAGCAGGACTTTCACGAGATGAGGTGGAGCGGGTTTGTGACTCAGTGGGGCTAACTTTAAACCTTTCAGATTCTCTAATGAAACATCAGCTCAAGGTGAGCTCTGAGAAGACACGCTGTCTCACAGTCACTGGCGGTTCTGATAATGGAGCAAACGGAACAGAAAGAGGCCCCGTGTTCGCTGCTCTCTAAACCCCAAGTCCAAGAGCAAGTGTTCACATGGAAATGTGCTTTGGAGAGCTTAGACAAGAGCATTCTTACACAGAAAAGTGTTCTCTGCATGGGCATTTAAAAGGGTTTCCAGTCGGGCCAGCGTGGCTCAGGGGTTGAGGTCACTGGTTTGATTCCTGGTCAGGGCACAGGCCCGGGTTGCGGGCTCCATCCCCAGTATGGGGTGTGCAGGCGGCAGCCGGTCCATGATTCTCTCTCATCACTGATGTTTCTACCTCTCTCTCCCTCTCCCTTCCTCTTCGAAATCAATAAAAATATATTTGATTTAAAGGTCAGCATCGTCCTAGCTGGTGTGGCTCAGTTGATAGAGCGTCGGCCTGCGGACTGAAGGGTCCCAGGTTTGATTCTGGTCAAGGACACATGTCTGGGTTGCGGGCTTGATCCCCAGTGTGGGGCGTGCAGGAAGCAGCCAATCCATGATTCTCTCTATCATTGATGTTTCTACCTCTCTCTCCCTCTCCCTTCCTCTCTGAAATCAATAAAAATATATTAAAAATATAGATTTAAAAGTCAGTATGACATAGTCAGGCTTTTCCTTCTGTCGTTCCTGGCAGGGACCAGCATGCATCGTCGCCCGTCTGTCACCATAATCGCTCACAGCCTGAAACTCGCCATCTCCACTGCCTGTGGGCACTCCTGAAGCCCCGACCCGAAAGAGAACTGCACTGCTTGCTTGGATGGTCATATGAGAACTCGCAGAGTCCCTCCTGGTGAAGCGTCCCCTCTCTGGCTTCTGGGGAATGAGCTGATCGCTGCTGCTCAGCGTCCCTCTGCGGCCAGGGCGCGCTCACAGCGCATGCCCTGTGTGGAATTGGGGTTTGTGAACATTGCAATGACCCTGTCCCCACAGAGCAAATGGCAGCCAGGGAGTTCACTAGGCAGCAAACCTCCTAAGCAACAAACCCCACTGCCATCCACTTCCACACTGCATCGCGCTAAAGGGCAGCCTGCTTCCGTGGGCTCTGAGGCTTAGGCATGCTTTGCAAACGCAAGACGTCAGCACCTGAGAGCAATGGAACATGAATCCTGAACACAGAGCATTGATCCTGAGTTCAGCTCCCAGCTTGGCAGCTGGGCGACCCCGGCCAAGTGTCTCCCCCTCTCTGTGCCTCAGCTCCTCGCCCGGGAAGTGGAGAGTAGCGGTGCCCACCTCACAGGGTGGCTGTGGGACTGAAGCAGCGAATCCATGTCCCATGCTTGGCCCCGCGCTTGCCCTCAGGGCTGGACGTGTCTGCTGCTCTCCGCTGGGCACAGAGGAAAGCCCGCCCCACTCACCTCGGGGATCCCCGAGCCGCAGGCGTAGGGCGCGAACACACGCACCAGGGAGACGGCCAGGAAGGCGAAGAGCAGGGCCCACAGCACGTAGAGCAGGTAGTTGAGGATGTAGGCGCTGGCACCCTGAACAAGACACAACACAGGAAGGACCGCTGAGCCCCCAGACCCAACGGTCCCCCTCCGCTGGGCCGGCAGCAGCGGGGCCTGTGTCAGCGAAAAGGCAGCTGTTTGGACAGGCGGCTGCTACAGCTACTGGAACCCACAGACACTGCCAGGCTTCTCTGCGAGCCATTTCCACAGACCTGCAGCCCGGCTGGCCTGCTCAGTGGTTAGCGTCGCCCCAGGCACCGAAAGGTCACCAGTTTGATTCCCCATCAGGACACATGCCCAGTTGGGGGCTCCATCCCCAGTGGGGCGTGCAGGAGGCAGCTGATGGATGTCCCTCTCATACATCAATCTCTCTCTCTCCCCCTCCCCTCCCTAAAAACCAATAAAAACATCTTTGGAAGCCATTATAAAACATACATGTCTTGTGCACATGAAGCAGGGGGGAGGGTTTCCAACTGCCATTTGCACAGGAGCCAGAAGTACCAGGTCACGCCATACAGGGCCCGGGTGGTGATCAGACACGCACGCTGCAACCACAGGCGGTCCCCCCGGCCAGGCCCGGCCCGAACCCACCTCGGAGCGGTTCACCAGCAGCTCCGACCACTTCTGCCACAGCGGGCACTTGTCCCGGTCCTCAAACGTGGTCTCGGAGGACGTCCAGCAGCATTGTTCGTGGCTGTACCAGAAGGCGGACAGGCAGATGCCCTCCTTCAGGTCGGTCATCCAGTCCACGGCCAGGTCGATGACGCCGGCCAAGGTGCCTGCAGGGACAGCGGGGTTCTTGGAGGAAGCGACAGGAGCATCCCCCCCCCCCCGCCCACACGCACAGGGAGTCCTGAGCACTGGTGGGGGGTGGGGGGGAGGCAGCCAGCCCGGCCCTAGGAGACCCTGGGCGGGTTCGTGTCCTCACGCGGACAGAGGCCCGTCTTCCTCCAGCCTGAGCCCATCCCTCCCGGGTTCCAGAAACGGGTGCGCCCCCTTCACAGGGCTCCCCCACAGCAGCCTGGGGGGGCGGGGGGGGAAGCGCTGGGTCACACATTCCTGTTTCCCAGGGGAGCGTGCCAGTGCCTGGCTGTTTAAGGCCTGGCCACACATGGGAACCCGACTTGGACAATCTCACTTCCTAGAACTTGCTGGATTTTTAAACTATTGTGGAAGGGATTCAATTAATAACTTACATTGTTGGGGATCTATGTAAGTGACTGCTTCAGAGGCCGGCAGAAGGAGCCAGGCCAGTCTTCTCTGCAGGCAGGGACATCAGGCTACCACATTCTCCCAACTTTTACCGGATCCTTATTATCCTGTCCCTGCCCCAGCCATACCAACACCGGGGCACCCACATGCCTGCAAGGACTCACCCCTCCCTGCCTTCCCGTTACACGGAAGCCCCATTGTTTGAGAGAACGCCTGAACCCCCAACAGGCGGCACACCCCAGCAGCTGCCCCTCACCCACTCCAGCCTCATCGCTTCCCACCTCTAGCCCCCACCCCTGCCCACTCCCTCCTCGTGGCCCCACCAGGCTCTGCTCTCCGCACCTCTCAGGAAGCACTGCCCTCCCCACCCGGCCATCTCCTCTTTCTCTTCCAGATCCTGGCACTTCCATCTCCTCCTGCAGGAAGCCTTCCCTGATTTCCTACATTTGGGCTCAGCATGCTTTCCAGGCATGTACCCATCAGCATACCTGTCACATCCTGACACCATGATCTGCTGGCATGGCATCTATATAACACATATGTTATCCCGAGTGCACCTGTGGAGCACGTCACAGTGGTGGAAAGGCTTTGGAAAACAGTCTGAAGCTGCTCACCAGGTTAAACAGTTACCATCCTTGCAAGCAATTCCAAAGCCCGAACACCTCGTGCTGAGTAAAAGGCGGTGATCACAGCACTCTACATGTGTGATGCCATTTCCATGTAACTTCCAGAGCGGGCAGAGAGGGCCAGGGGACAGGAGGAGGCTGCACGCCCTGGAGCTTGGCAGCTAAAGGACCTGGCGGGTCTCCGGGTGCCAATGAAAAGATTCTAAAACTGACTGTGGCGATGGCTGCCCACCTCCGTGAGGACGCTGAAAACCACCAAATGACATGCTTTCACTGGGTACATTGTATGGTATGTAAATTACACAATGAGGCTGCCGCATATGTGCATTTACACACACACACATGCATACAGCGGGTGGGGGTGACGCAGCTCAGAGAGGGAGAAGTGGACTTTTAGAAAGGTGGTCAGAGAACACCTCAAGCGAAAGATGTTTGAACAAAGACCTAAAGAAGGTGAGTGTATTAAATAAATAAAATAAATAAATAAATAAAGGAAGGTGAGGGAGTGGCCCTGCAGATAGCCAGCGGGGAGACCCAATGATCACCCCAAAGCCACCCCCATTCACTGGGTCATAATCACAATATCCCACATCCAGTCTCCCCGGCTGGCTGCTTCTGGCAGTGCTGGCAGGTTCAGCTTTCTTACGTGAACGGAGTATCTGTGACACCCGGTGGTGATTCATAGTAATTGATTCCCCATAAAGGGCTTGTTAATGTTTTCTTCCGTGGAGCAACAGTGACACCTGGTGGTGATTCACATAGTAAATGTTTTGTGCATATTTCGTTCCGTGGAGCAACAGTGACACCCGGTGGTAAGTCATAGTAAATGCAGCGTTGATGTTTTCTTAATATTTCTATTTGTTATTCAACAGCGACATCTAGTGATGAATCCTTATAACTGCACTGCAGAGGAGACCCTGGATCTCTCCATCTCAGGAGTCAGAATGTAATGTCCAGGATGCCACTAAGGAGATGACTGGCCCACCAGCTGGACAACAGGAAGTGAATGGGCACAGTTTGCTGGCTTTCCTTCCAAGGTACATCCAGATCAAAAGCACCTCGGCATTGGCACCAGCATCTCTCTCTTACCTTCCTCCTACATTCACTCGCTGATGTGTCCAGGGGCTCGCCCTTCTCCTGTGGCTCTCACCTGGCTGCACGTTAGCGTCACAGGAGGGGCAGGAGGAAGTGGAGGGGGTCGGCGCTAGGGCATCATCTCCAAATACACTATTTGCTTGAAGCCCAAGCAGCAGGTTTTTTGGTTGTTTTTTTTTTAAATTCCCCAAATGATTCTCCTTAAAAGAACTGGCAGGCCGAAACCGGTTTGGCTCAGTGGTAGAGCGTCGGTCTGCGAACTGAAAGGTCCCAGGTTCGATTCCTGTCAAGGGCATGTACATTGGTTGCGGGCACATCCCCGGTAGGGGGTGTGCAAGAGGCGGCTGGTCGATGTTTCTCTCTCATCGATGTTTCTAGCCCTCTATCTCTCTCCCTTCCTCTCTGTAAAAAATCAATAAAATATATATTTTTTTTAAAGAACTGGCAGAACTCGGATTGATAGTGAAGCCAACTGGTCAATATCAGGTTAAAGACACACCCTGACCAGGCTCTCAGATTAATCAATACATCTAAACTGCCTGTGTACTCCAAGATGCCAGAACATCTATTCTGCATTTCTTTTCTCTATCCATTTCTCCTTCCCAGGAGCCAAGGGTAATGACAGTGAATGATTTTCAAACTCGATTCTAAACAGAGACATCAACATTCACAGCTGGCTCCCACCCGCCCGCCTCCAAAGGCTTTCGCAGAGGCGGTCAAACACCACCTATCCATAAGCCCAAGCTCACCGGGAATGCCAGTGGGACAGGGACCGCCTGGGGAAATGCGTGGACAGCTGCTGTGCCCCTGAGCACTCCGCTTGGCTCTCTGTGATGGGCCAAACCCTCCCTCAGCTGTGTACGGAGCAAATGCAGAGGCACCCAGCACCTGAAATCTTCAGGAATCCCAAACCTACATCCGTAGACAGCGCCTGGGCATGCACGTGGGCATTTCTTTAATTATCGTCAGCTGAGCTCAGGGCGATGGGAGAGCCACGGCCTGGGAACATGCTTCCCCAAAAGGCTGACCATGTTATCAGCTTGGCCTTCACATCAGCCCAGGTGTGTGACTTAGCTAGGTAAATCCAGCCATGCACCAGGAATGCTCGGCCTACTCAAGAATGCAAATAAGCTCCTTTGACCCTAGGTTCTGGTGATACTTCCTGGTATTTGGGGATGTATATGGGGGTCCCTGCCTCTCCATCAGAGCTGGCAGCGGTTCTACCCGGCTCCCAGCTTTTTCCTTCTATCTCTGTGTCTTGTTTCTTTCTTTTATTTCTTAATCCCCAGCTCCTCCACTCAGGAACCGGACCCGTTCCTTTTCCATGCTGGACTGGGGAAAGAGAAGAACACCTCTACATACATCTGCGCCCCTTAGTGCTCCGTCTCTCTCACGGCATCCGCTGTGTCCCGCCGTATCGCAGTCCTTGTCTGGGCAGGGCTGTAACCACGGCTCTATGTCATGATGGACCAGGGGCTTTTAAGGGGGTCTCTTCAGCACACCCGGGCTTTTTATCCCAGACTGACCCTGCACAGCCTCCTGAAAGGGGGGGAGCTGCAGGCAGCAGAGCCCTGGAGAACTGTGCCCCGGATGTTGAGAGTGGGTTTCTCCTCCACAGAGCGCCCTGCTAGCTCCGGAAACCTGGTGCTGGGGTTACCCAGTGATAGACGCAGAGGCCCTGAGGGTCTGAGCAGTGTGGGTGGAGGGTGGGGGGGTCTCCAGCTAGCTCCTGGGGTGTCCCCCCCCCTTTTTTTTTTTTTAAGAAAATGGAGCCTTTTGTTAGAGGTCAGTTTAATATATATTTGCTGACTTTAGAGAGAGAGGAAGGGTGAGGGAGAGAGAGAAAGAAAGATTGATGAGAGAGAACATCAGATCGGCTGCCTCCTGGGGATGGAGCCCACAACCCAGGCACAGGCCCTGACTGAGAATCGAACCATGATCTCTTGGTTCCTGGTTCGACCCTCAACCACTGGGCCACACCAGCTGGACACGTGTTGCGCATTGGGGTGTTTGCAATTCACTCCAGGGCCTCCCGGGGTTAGCAAAGGCCAGCTTCACGTGGTGTGTTATTATTAGAGACCAAAACCTCTCCGTACTGTTTTGCCTTCTTCATAAGCACGCGGTACAGAATGTAGTGTGTTTCCAGTCACAGCTCTGCAACGCCCCCCGGAGCCCCGCCCTCGGGCCTGGCCTCACTCTAAGATGGTCCCAGCACGGACCCCTCCCATGGGGCACAAGAGAAACACCCCACTTTTAGAATGCCACCCCAGCAGCCACCCGGGGCCCAGCCGCCCCCGCACGGGCGCCGTGCACGTACCCGCCAGCAGCCCGATGAGCAGCATGACCACCCATCCTGACCAGGCGTCCAGCAGACCCTTGATGAACTCCCACACGGACTCCTTGCTTCTGCTGGTTATCTGGGGACGAGACACGGCGGTTCATGGGCACACGCTCCGGTCCCGCGTCCTCCCCACAACCTCCCTCAGAAACCGAGTAACTACTCAGCTGGTTTCCCCCACACACACACACACACACACACACACACAGCACTCCTCCGGCCACCTGCCACACCACGGAGTGGCCTTTCCACTCCAAAACTCCGCTTCAGCCCTCACCGGTGTGGCTCAGTGGATAGAGCGTCAGCCTATGGACTGAAGGGTCCCAGGTTTGATTCCAGTCAAGGGCATGGACCTTGGTGGCAGGCACATCCCCAGTGGTGGGTGTGCAGGAGGCAGCTGATCGGTGTTTCTCATCGATGTTTCTAGCTCTCTATCCCTCTCCCTTCCTGTCTGTAAAAAATCAATAAAATATATATATTTTTTAAATCCACTTCATTTAGCCTGGCCAGCCTGGCTCAGGGGTTGAGCATCAACCTAAGAACCAGGAGGTCACGGTTGGATTCCTGATCAGGTGGCGGGTTCAATTCCCAGTGGGAGCATGCAGGGGCAGCTGATCCATGATTCTCTGTCATCATTGATGTTTCTCTCTCTCTCTCTCTCTCTCTCTCTCTCTCTCTCTCTCTCTCTCTCTCTCTCTCCCATTCCCTTCCTCTATGAAGTCAATAAAATAATTTTTTTAATCCACTTGATTAAACAAACTCACAGGTGCCATTTGTACTCTGATGATCTGCAAGCCATTCTGAAGGGAGATGTGGAGTCGGCGCCATTGTAGACCAGGAGGTGGTGCTCTGGCCGCCACGCTTCACCCTGCTCTGAAGCGCTGTCCCTGGGACTGAAGGCAGCCCGCACACAGTAGGTCCGCCTTGGCGGAGAGAGACTTGGCTTGGCCCGTCCTCACCACCAAGCCCTCCTCTCACTGGGACCCCCTTGGCTGGTTCCCCTCCTTCACTTCTCCCCGCTGCTTCTAAGTGTCCGGCACTGCTCCCCTCTCCCCCCGGTCTCCACTGAATGGCCTGCCTGGCTCCTGGCGCCTCCTGCCTCCTCCCTCTACAGAGCCAGGCCACCTGCCCCCCCGCCCAAAGCACCTGACATTTCTCTTAATGTACACTGAATGGCCAGATGATGGTGATCTCTGAACACATAAAAACCTGGCCACTCAGTGTGTGTGTGTGTGTGTGTGTGTGTGTGTGTGTGTGTGTGTGTGCGTGTGCATGTGTGTGTGTGTTTTATATATATATTTTAGAGGCCCTGTGCATGAATTCCTGCATGGATGGGGTCCGGCCAACCTGGCCACCGGGGGGAACATGGGCGGTTGGCCGGCCTGCCTGCTGGTTGAACTCCTGGTTGAGGGGACAATTTGCATATTAGCCTTTTATTATATAGGAGGATAGACACTGAGTCATCAGATTATTATGCGTTCAGAGATCATAATCTGGCCACTCAGTGTATTTTATTTATTATTTTTTAATATATTTTATTGATTTCTTACAGAGAAGGAAGGAGATAGTCAGAAACATCGATGAGAGAGAAATATCAATCAGTTGCCTCCTGCACACCCCCCACTGGGGATGTGCCCGCAACCAAAGTACATGCCCTTTACTGGAATCGAACCTGGGACCTTTCAGTCGGCAGGCTGATGCTCTATCCATTGAGCCAAACTGGTTACGGCCACTCAGTGTATTTTATTGATTTCAGAGAGGAAAGGAGAGGGAGAGAGAAACATCAGTGATGAGAGAGAAGCACGTCCCACACTGGGGATCAAACTTGCAGCCAGGCCATGTGCCTTGACCAGGAATCAAACATGACCTTCTGGTTCCTAGGTTGATGCTCAACCACTGAGCCACACGGATCGGGAGAGCACCTGGTATTCTATGACCTATCCACAGCTCTACCCCTCCCTCCCACAACCTTCCCTTCCTTAGCGCCCTGCCCACCCAGGACACGAGGGCATGAGCCGGAGGAACCCCCTCCCACATGTCTGTCAGGACATCACCTACCTTCCTGTGCCTGTCGGTGTCCCGCGACTTCTCCCTCAGCCAGTCGATGGTGTGGAAGTCCTCGTACGTCCCCACGTCGGGGAAGGGCTCATCGAGAAAGTCCATGAGGTTGCCGGAGCCGCTCATCGCTCCTGCACGTGACCATGCTACTCACACCTGGAGAGAGAGCGCAGTTGACACGCCGGCAGGCGGCCCGCACACCCTGGCACCACCCGCTCCCACTACTTTCTTGTGGAAGAGAGACTCGCATTAGCATCTGCTGCGGTGATGTATGTACACCGAGGGGCCGGAGGAGGATGATCTCTGGACGCATAACAACCTGGCCACTCCGTGTATCTGTATCTCCAATGGGTACCAAAAGCATTCTAGACTTTTGCTGGAGATCAATCAACCTCCTACTTGCCCTGAGCTTTCTATCAGCTGGTGCAAAGGGGAACACTGATCAGGTGCATGATTTATAGTATCTTTGATATCCAATCAATGAGGTGCTCAAGAGAAGTACACTGAGTGGCCAGATGATTGTGCATTCAGAGCTCATCATCATCTGGCCGCTCAGTGTGTATGCAGGCACACACAGTCTGTCTCAGTCAGCAGCAACTGCTGTAACAAACATACCCTGGACTGGGTGGCTTCTGAGAAATGCATGTTTGTCTCACAGTCTGGAAACCAGGAGATCCACTCACAAGCTAAACACTGTCACCCAACCACTCATTGCTCCCCGGGGAGCTGAGGCGGGTCACTCGGGCAGTCAGCCTGTGGCCGTCACCCTGGATATCCACGATGCACAGCGACGGGAGAGCGGAATTGCTGGCGGCACTTGAACTAGCTGTGGGAGGGCGGTAACGTGCAGAGGGCACTGCCCTCCGCACCAGGGCTGCCTTGGGGGCGGACAAGGAGACAGATAGGACCTCCTGCCACACAAGCCAGCTCTGGTCTTGATGTCTGTGCCCCCCACCCAAAAAAAATTCACAGGCTGAACCCTCCCCCCCATGTGAGGGAGTTAGGAAGCGGGCCTCTGGGAGGTGGTGAGGGCATGCGGCCCCACCATGGATGGGCTCCGTGTCTTTATGGGAGAGCCCCGTGTCCCTTCTGCCACGCGGGGCACAGCGAGGCCTGGGACTGGGAAGCGAGTCCCCACCCGACCAGCTGGCACCTTGACCTCAGACTGTGGGAAAGCAATGCCTGGTGGGTTTTTGTTTGTTTGTTTGTTTTTGTTTTTAATATTTTTATTGATTTCGGAAAAGAAGGGAGAGGGAGAGAGAGATAGAAACATCAATGAGGAGAGAAAATCATGGATTGGCTGCCTCCTGCATGCTCCCTACTGGGGATGGAGCATACAACCCAGGCATGTGCCCTTGACCAGAATTGAACCCGGGATCCTTCAGTCCACAAGCCATAGCTCCATCCACTGAGCACACCAGCCAGGACCCTGCCAACTCTTTATGCCAGTCACTGCAATGCAGAAAAATCATAAAAAATAGTCCACTGATGGTGAGATGAAAACTTCAGATACCCCGTGTGGCAATCTCACACCCTCAAAAGCTATCCTAGGCCAGCTGGTGCGGCTCAGTGGTTGAACATCCACCTGTGAACCAGGAGGTTCGATTTCGGGTCAGGGCACATGTCTGGGTTGTGGGCTCAATCCCCAGTAGGGGGCATGCAGGAGGCAGCCGATCCATGATTCTTTCTCCTCACTGATGTTTCTCTGCCTCCCTTTCTCTCTGAAGTCAATAATAATATTTTTTAAATATATTTTATTGATTTTTTGCAGAGAGGAAAGGAGAGGGATAGAGAGTTAGGAACATCAATGAGAGAGACTCATCGATCAGCTGCCTCTTGCACACCCCCTAGCGGGGATGTGCCTGCAACCCAGTTGCATGCCCTTGACCGGAATTGAACCCAGGATCCTTCAGTCCGCAGGCTGACGCTCTATCCACTGAGCCAAACCAGTTTTGGCAATAAAAATTTTTTTTTTTCTATAAAAGCTACCCTAATATCTGTGACCAGGACTGCCTTTAACCCTCAGAAGTGGGAACGGAAACATGTGATTGGCAAGAGACCGCTAAATACATACAAAAAGCGAGCTGCAGGCAGTGGGGATCCGGCGTCACAGCCCAGGCCGCGGGCAGGCCTGCCAGCGGACATCCCTCCCCTCAGACCGAAGGAAAGCAGACGGGGAAGTGGGGATTAGGCTGGCGCAAGCACAGGCCCAGGCCGGGTTATCTATAATCTCCCAGCCGGGCCTGTTCTTTGTAGAAGCGCAGTTTTAGTAAACAGAAGTCGTAAATCTAACGTCCCTGTTTCTGCTACATTCCAGAAACTGTTCTGACCTACGCGGCCGACTGGGTCTGGGGGACAGTCTGGACTACCTGGTGGTTAGCATTGCAAGCATTTTTTCGCCAGAGGAATGCGCCCACAGAACCAGCACCCAGATCAAAGGCCAGAGGCGGCCAGCCCCCACAGGCTCGTCCCGGCCCCTTCCTGGTCCACCCCCCCCCCCTCCACGGAGCCCCGACGCTGAGCCTCGCACCCCAGCCTCAGTCTGCCTGCTTCTGAACTTCACAGAAACGGGGTGTTACGTTCCCCAGCTTTTTGTTCTACGTGATGCTGTAGCGTCTCTGCTCCTCTAACCGCCCTCTATGCCTGTGGAAGGGCAGGGTAACACGTGGGAAGATTTGTGAGGCAGGCAGCTTCCGTCGCATAGAAGCAGCCAGAGACAATACACAAACCAGGGGCTGGGGCTGGGTGTCCTTTGCGCTTGATGTATGGACCCTGAATCTGAATGTCATAGCATCTTCATTTGTCACAAGACATTCCCCTTCCAGTTGTCTTATGATCATTAAGAAATGTCAGAACCGCCCTGGCCAGGGTGGCTCATGCACTGAGAGGTCACTGGCTCGATTCCCGGTCAGGGCGCATGCCCGGGTGCCGGCTCCATCCCGAGTGGGGGGCAGCTGATGGATGGTCCACTCTCACATCAATGCAGGGGAGGACGGGGCCGGAGAACATCAAGCCCAGAGCCAGGCCTCGGTTAGATGGCAGCTAAAAGTCATAGCCCCAAAGCTTCATTCCTTCCAGACTCGCCAGAAGCTCCCACAAGTCACAAGCCGCCTGTACAGCGCCCCCTTCCTTGCCACCTACGAGGCTCACACAAGGCACTGAGCTCAGGGGCTGACTTGGTGCCCTGGTCTCAGAGGGGTGTCGTTGCACCACTTGGCCACCAGGTGGCGCAGTGAATGCAGCCCTGCCGCCTGGAGCAGCCTGGAGCCCAGAAACAGACAGGAGCGCACCTTTCTCCCTCTGCCCAGCATGGAGCCCGCAGCCACCCCAGAGCAGGCGGACAAGCTGGGCGCCGTCGTTGGCTTCTCCTCTCCTGCCCGCCCTCTGGCTCAGGCCTCCCCCAAACGCGCTGGCAACAGGTGAGCCTTCAACACAGCATGCTGGCCAAGGCAGCTGCATCAGAACTCAGGGGGCATGGTGCCCTCTACATGGGTCACACACATGACTTCTCGTGTGGGTGGCAGTACGGATGTCCCCATTACAATCCACGAAGCCACGCGTTTAGGTGTGACGCACTTCTTGGCGTGTTTGTGATGCTTTGCAATTTTAAGACGCTTCAGAGAGCAGCCTGCCCGTCAGTAAAAGCAGCTGCAGAGGCCCAGTTTTCACGTGTGGCTCCTGCCCGGGGCATCCACTCTGCTGGCGCCAGTATCACCCTGTTCTTCAGAGCACACGCTGCCCACACTCCTGATGCCCGCACATTCCAGGTGAGGGGGCTGTGCCGGAGAACACCTCCGCTCACATGGGGAGAACTGTCCGAACTGCTCCCTGGCCCTGGCTGGTGTGGCTGGGTTTGAGTCTGGTCAGGGCACAGGCCTGGGTTGCGGTCCCAATCCCCAGTAGGGGGCATGCAGGGGCCAGCCAATCAGTGATTCTCTCTCATCATTGATGTTTCTTTCTCCCTCTCCCTTCCTCTCTGAGCGCAATAAAAAGTATTAAACGTGTGTGCGTGTTTGGAGGCACACTGCCGCTGTTGCGTGCTGTTTGTTTCCAGCAGCGTGGGATTCTATAAAAAGAGGCGCTGGTGGCTGCCCTAACTGGTGTTGCTCAGTGGATAGAGCATCGGCCTGCGGACTGAAGGGTTCCAGGTTCGATTCTGGTCAAGGACATGTACCTTGGTTGTGGGCACATCCCCAGTGGGGGGCATGCAGGAGGCAGCTGGTCGATGTTTCTAACTCTCTGTCCCTCTCCCTTCCTCTCTGTAAAAAAAATCAATAAAATATAAATTAAAAAAGAGAGAGAGAGGTGCTGGTGGCAGCGAACAGAGTGGCCCAGAACGGACAAACTGGAAGGTGACATGAAGGTGACCCTGAGGCTGACAGTGAGCACGGGGTGGGCAGGTGCGGGGGCATCCCCAGCCCATTGACAGGTGAGCACGCGGCAGCTCCTGCCGGGCACTGCCTGCTCTGGGTGCCGCGGGACCCATGAGCATAGAGAGAATGAGGAAGGCTCTCCAGGACGGTGACCCGGCCCCCACCAGCAGGAGCCGGAGCTGGGGGACAGGAACCAAAGAGAAACACCCCAGCCCCCCAGCCCCCGAGGCCATCCTGCCCCAGGGACAGCGCCAATGTCACAGGACAGGCGCACAATGGCATCGGGTGGGTGGGAGCCAGCGACGCTGCTCAATACCCCAGAGCCCCCAGGACAGCGCCCCGTGGAGGATGACCGCGCCTCACATGTCACCCGTGGTGACCGGGAACTAAGCAAATGAGGAAGAGCGAGAGGAAGCGCCCAAGGCCCAGCCACCGGCTCTGTGTTCGCCTCCCAGTGAGGACGTGAGAGGGAAGCTGGCGGGAAACTCTCTCGAGAAGTTTCTGTGAAGTAAGCCTGACGTAGCCAAGTGACAACACTTACTACAGGCACCCTGTCCCGCACAGTCAGCCTGCTAGGCTACCCCCCGGCAGCAAGCAGCTCGAACCCCGGCACAGAACCAGCAGGCCGCGCCAGGCGGCGCCAGGAGCGAGCTGTGAGGCCAGCGCCCAGGAAGATGGCCCAGAACAGAGAGGGAAGACATGTGTGCACAGGAAACCATTCACCAGAGGTGCCCACGCAATTCTCTCTCTTGTGAAATGCCCATTCCTTCATCTGTGATGGCC